GGCTACTCGGAAGGCTGAGGCGGAAGGATCACCGGAGCCCAGCAGGCGAGGCTGCGGTGGCCAGGAGCGGCTGCTGCACTCCAGTCTGGGCGACCGAGTGAGACTCCCAACTCAAAAAAAAAAAAAAAAAGATATTTATTGCTAAAAATGCTAATAATCACCTGAGACTTCTGTGAGTCACAGTCTTTTTCCTGATGGAGGTCTTGTCTCAATATTGATTGATCAGGGTGGTAGTTTCTGAAGGTTGTGGTGGCTATGGCAATTTATTTTCTTTCTTTTTTTCTTTTTAGTTTTTTGAGTTGGGAGGTCTCATTCTGTCATCCAGACTGGAGTGCAATGGCACGATCATGGCTTATCACAGTCTTGAACTCCTGGGCTTAAGCAATCTTCCCTCCTCAGCCTCCCAAACAGTTGAGAGTACAGCCATATACCACCACACCTGACTAGCTTTTTTATTTTTATTTTTGTAGAGATGAGGTCTCGCTATGTTGCTTAGGCTGGTCTCGAACTTCTGGGCCCAAATACTCTTCCTGCCTTGATCTTTTTTAATAATATTTTTTTCATTTTAGTAGATACAGGGTTTTGCTATGCTCCCCAGGCAGATCTCAAACTCCTGGCCTGAAGTGATCCTCCTGCCTCATCCTCCCAAAGTGCTGGGACTATAGGTGTGAGACACTGCACCCAACTGGCAGTTTCTTAAAGTAAGACCACAGTGAAGTCTTTTGCATCAATGGACTTTTCCTTTCCCAGAAGGCTTTTCTGCAGGATGTAGTGCTGTTTGATAGCATTTTACCCACAGTAGAACTACTTTCAGAATCAGAGTCCTCTCAAACCCTTTCTCAGCTAGGTTTATGTAACACTCTAAATCCTTTACTGTCATCTTGACAATGCTCATAGCATCTTCACCAGAGGAGATTTCATCTGAAGGACCACTTTCTTTCCTCATCCATAAGAAGCAACTCTTCATCCATTCGAGTTTTATCATGAGATTACAGCAATTCAGTTCCATCTTCAGGCTCCACTTCTAATTCTAGTTCTCTTACTGATTCATCACATCTGCAGTTACTTCCTCCATTTGAAGGGTCTGAATCCCTCAAACCATCCCATGAAGGCTGGAATCAGCTTCTTCCAAACTCCAGCTGATGTTGATATTTTGATCTCCTCCCATGAATCACAAATGTTCCTTTTTTTTTTGAGTCAGAGTCTCACTCTGTTTCTCAGGCTGAAATATAGTGGCATGCTCACAGCCACTGCAGCTTCGACTTCAACCTGCTGGCTCAGGCAGGCACTACAGGCCTGCTGGAACTACAGGCACGCACCACCATGCCTAGCTAATTTTTTGATTTACTGTAGAGATGAGGTCTCACCAAGTTGTCCAGGCTGATCTTGAATGCCTGGGCTCAGGCAATTCTCTTGCCTCCACCTCCCAAAGTACTGGGATTACAGGTGTGAGCCACTGTGCCCCTCTCTTTTTTTAATTTAAGAGATGAATGTCTCACTATGTTGTCCAGACTGGCTCTGAATTCCTGGGTTCAAGTGATCCTGCTGTCTCAGCCTTCTGAGTTTCTGGGTCTACAGGTGCACACCACCATACCTGCAAATGTTCTTAATGGCATCTAGAAGGTTTTCTTTTCTTTACTTTTTTGAGGTGGGGTCTCACTTTGTCACCCAGGCTGGAGGGCAGTGGCACGCTCCCAGCCACTGCAGCCTCGACCTGCTGGGCTCCAGCGATCCTTCCGCCTCACCCTTCCAA